CACACAAACACACACACACACCTGTGTGTCCAGCAGTGTTAGGAGCAGCAGCAAGACTGACGGGTCTCTTGTCATGGTGACTTGAAGGTGGCGCTAGAGAGCATCTGTGTCTGCGGCCAAACACAAATATATTAATACTGCTTCATCAGTATGTGCTGCTGCCAAACATAAACATCGACATGAATAACACTTGTGTTTCAGTGCAGAAAACAGTGCTTTCTCCAGCTCCAGAGCTGCTGAGGCTTGGAATTTGTATCTGCACGGGACGCTTATGAGAACACGAGTGTTTATTTAGGGAGAGGATGTCTCTCTCTGTCTGTAAACACAGCGGTCAAAGCCCTGCGGCCGCAGATTCACACTACACACCACTACACACTCACAGCACAGAAGGAGGCTTTTACTTTCACATTACATTCAAATTAATGATGAAATCTTTATAAAACAACCTCATTCATGGCTTTAAGTCTAAAGGGTTATGCATATTAACACATCTAATATTAATTACATTAAATGCATTTAATATACAGTATATAATACATAACTAATTACATATAGTGATTATTAATATTATAAATAATATTATAATTAGTTTATAATAATATTTTTTTTTATATTTATAATAATATATTAATGAATAATATGTATTATTATTAATATTATTAATTTTTAATAATTTTAATTATATATTTAAAACAAATCATTGTAAATAAAATTGTATGAAATACATGTAGCAGTAAATATACAAAATATAACTAGTTATTATATTATATATCATTATTACAAACGATTATCAATTAATTTTTTTCTGTATTAAGTAAAAAATGATCTTTTATGTATATTACTAGATTTAATATTAACTATCCTAAATACATGTAGCATTGTATATATAATACAAAATTAGTTTAATATAATGCTAATTAATATTTTCTATATATATAATTATATCTAAAACATACATGATATATAACAAAATGCATATTTTAAATAAAATATTTATTTTTTATTAAAATGGTCATTAACGATAACAAATTAACATTAATAAAACATTATTTAACAAAATGTATATATTTCTGTAATTAATAAAATTTATGTATACATTACATAACACTTATCTTTTACATATATTAATAGATCTAATAAAATAGTTTATTAAATACATGTAGCATTCAATATATAATACATAACTATACTTATTAAATACTGTTGTTAATTATTACAGATTATTAACTAATAAAACAAACATTATTATTTAATAAATAACGTACAAATTATTATATTGTATATATAATTATTATATTATATTTAAATACACTCACACCTCGGCAAGCAGCAATGGTTTAAATACAGATTCTCTTTTTTACCCGTGAGTCGCTCGTAATAACAACCACGTCACTGTTTCTCCAGTTTGATTGTGTTTGCGATGAAAGAAAGCTGCTTTTCTGTAGTAATTGTGGGTCAAACTACTAGACTAATCAAACTACAGGACAGAACGAGCAGTGGCTAGTTAGCTGGTTAGTGTGTGTGTGTTATGTGGGCTCTGAGAAGCGTTTGGTTTCCTGCTGATTTACTCACTACAGCGTCTCGAGGGGCAGAAACATTATACAGTCAGTCTTTCCCATGAGTTTAAGGTCAGAGGTCACTGTCATGAGAAACATCCACTGCGCAAACGTCCCAGATCTTTAATTACTCCAGAGGATGCGTGTTATTTTAGCATCACAGGCATGACATGAATCATACCGTGGTAAAATCACTGTAATACACGATGTCATGACTAATCGCTTTTATAAATGGGGAGCAATATGATAAAATACATACGTTTAATATATGATTGCATCAAACAGATGACAGTATTCGAAATAATTACTTTATTAAATAATATTAGAAGATGTGCACATTAATGGTGTTTAGAATCACTAGCCTGATGTTTTATTTAATATTGAAATATTAAATATATTTATATATATTTAAACAGCAATATTTAAATAAATAAATAAATAAATAAAATCACTAATTGCTTTAACAAATGATGCAATATAATAAAATGCATGAATGTTTAATATAACATTTCTTTAAATAAATGATAATATTTAAAATTAACTATTATTTTATTAAATAATTGTATGAAATGTGCAAACTAATGGTGTTTGGATTTTTACATTTAAATATTAAATACATTGAAATAGTAATATTTGAATATGACATATTTAAATAAATATTCAATGTTTAGATTATTAGACTATAGTTTATTGCACATTTTTATTTTTATAGCCTGACCGTGTTTGATTGTACATCTTAAGAAGTTAAAAGCTTCTGGTTCCTCGTGGAGAAAGTTATTTCTGTTCTGAGGAGCAACAGGAAGCAGAAAGAGAAGAGAGGCCTGACTTCCTGCGCTGTCTGTGAGGACAAAAATAAGCCATTGTTGCACCTGCACAAAAGAGACTAAACCGACAAAACGCTTCAGTGTCCGACCGAGCACCGATCGCTCAGAATCAAACGCTCACAGAATCCAGAGGAGATTCCAGAAAGCAGGAACATGATGTTGATGTTATACAGCCGAACCGCCGGCAAAACCTGATCAAACGCAATCCTGAAAAACTCTGGCAGATCATTTTACATTCACGCTAATTATACAAATACCTGATAGACGATCAAGCTGAAGAGAAACAGCTGATCACGTGCACATCATCCACAGTCATATGTGCGTGTGTGTGTGTGTGTGTGTGTGTGTGTGAGTGTGAGTGTGTGACGTCCTTTCTTACTCAAAGATTATATGCTTTCTTATTTTCCCATTGCTGAGTCCAAAAATAACAGTGTATGACTGGAGGAGAGCCAGAAAAGTACAACCAGACCACTGAGAGAGAGAGAGACGAAACACACGTGCACACACACACTCACACTCACAGTCCTTCATTACCTGACATATAAAATATTTAAACTATTTCTACATAAAACAAACCAGATTTGTACAATTTCAGTAGAAAATGTGAGTAGCGTTTTCCTGTGCAAAACTCACTGTTACTGCTGGTGGTTGCTATGGTGTTGCCAGGGTGTTCTGGGTGGTTGGCAGGGCGTTGTCAGGGTGTTATGAGTGGTAGGCCGTTGTCAGGGTGTTCTGGGTGGTTGGTAGAATTTTCTGAATGGTTGGTAGGGTGTTGACAGGGTGTTATGAGTTGTTGGTAGGGCGTTGTCAGGGTGTTCTGGGTAGTTGGTAGGGCGTTGTCAGGGTGTTCTGCGTGGTTGGGAGGGCGTTGTCATGGTGTTCTGAGTGGTTGGTAGAATGTTCTGGGTGGTTCGTAGGGTGTTGACAGTGTGTTATGAGTGGTAGGGCGTTGTCAGGGTGTTCTGAGTAGTTGGTAGGGTGTTCTGGGTGGTTGATATAATGTTCTGGGTGGTTGGTAGAGTGTTGTCAGGGTGTTCTGAGTGGTTGATATTATGTTCTGGGTGGGTTCTGGGTTATTGGTAGGGCATTGTCAGGGTGTTCTGAGCAGTTGGTAGGCTGTTGTCAGGGTGTCCTGAGTGGTTGATATAATGTTCTGGGTGGTTGGTAGGGTGTTGTCAGGGTGTTCTGGGTGGTTGGTAGGGTGTTGTCAGGGTGTTCTAGGCGGTTGGTTGGGTGTTGTCAGGGTGTTCTGAGTGGTTGGTAGGGTGTTGTCAGGGTGTTCTGGGTGGTTGGTAGGGTGTTGTCAGGGTGTTCTGAGTGGTTGGTAGGGCATTGACAGGGTGTTATGAGTAGTTGGTAGTAGTGGTGGGAATCTTTTGGAATGTCGTGATTCTATTTCTATTTGATATTTGCATAGATTTGATTTTATATTTGATTCGAAAGGCCTGTTCACACCAAGGACGATAACTATATAGATACCGATAAAGATATAGTTCTAAAAATCGTTCTCAATATTAAAAAATGACAGAGTCCACACCACAGGTATAACGATAAAGGCACAGATAAACGATATCGTTGGAATCACTTTCAGACTATTTTTTCCAGCTGATGAACGATAAAAACATTGACAGCCAATCAGAATCAATCCTGCCATAACGAGCTAGAGAATTTAAAGCGGCAGACGAGCGTGCGCTTGGAATAAACAGACGATATCATCCGCTGGTGTGGACGCTAATATAGTTATCTTTATAGTTATCGGTCTTGGTGTGAACAGGCCTTTAACTTTGAATTTTAATTTTATGTAACTAAAATTAAAATGAAACTGAAACTATAAAGGCGCACGTCTTTGCATCATTAAAATAAGATCAGTTTGTGTGACCGTGAAGTTAAGAGTCGTATGGAATCAAAGGAAGTAATTATCAGCTGGTTCCAACTGGTGGCAGTTTGTTTGAAGTTAGAAAAATATAATATTTGCCGTTGCATTGTCAATATTTAGTGATTTAGCCTCTGATACAGGGTATGCCATTATTAACTAGTCAATAAGATTCTGTCTAGGGTCTGGTTTGATTCTCCAGGATGGTGTTTGGCTGCAGGACAGTAATCTGTTGAGCCAAATGAGAGACCTTGACCTGTTATAACTGTGAAATCTCCCTATATGGAGATCAAGGAAGCACATCTGTAACACTCAGAATACAGCATGAAACAGCATCTAAGCCGGACTGAGGTTCTGTTCCAAACCCTAGTGAGCTCCCTACATGAACAGATGCATACTAACTCAAAGACCTCATAGATACATAGACCTCATTAGTGAAGCTGATGCGATTCACTTGAACCAATGATTGCAATAGACATCAGCATTAACACAAGCAAGTCTAACAAGCATAAAAATAAATATACAGTATACAAAAATAGTGTACACAACAGTCCATGATTAATTAGATTGAACAATTTTTGTTTATATTAATAAACAAAATGGAGAAAACATAAATTTGACTGAATTTTATTTATAATCATAATTCGATCACACATAAATAAAACTGAAAAGTTTTAGAGCAAATATTTTTAGCATATATTAGAATTAAATTATTATTCACATTTATAATCAACATTTCTCTCTTTTTTTCCCCACTGTACACTGTAAAAAAAATCCGTAAAATTTACGGTAAAAAAACGGCAGCTGTGGTTGCCGGAATTTTACCGTAAAAAATAGCAACATTTTAGGTTTTACTGTTTTAACTTAAATTTACAGTTAAATACCGTCATTTCATTAACTGATATAATGTTAATATACTTACCGTTAACCATTTAACAGGTTTTTACTGTAGCATTTTTACAGTGCAGTTGCAGTGCATTATAAGATTACCTTGCTATGCGATTGTGAAGGAATGTGTAATATTTCATTCAAATTTGGCCAAAACAAGCATAATCGGAAACATGTCTATGATGCCTTAAAATGCGTCCTATATAGGCTGCAGACTAGGATTTGGAACAGAACCACATTGTTAAGATAAAAAGGTACCTTATATTCTTATAACAACTAGAATTATACAAAGAGCACCTTGGTAACCACATTGCATTGGGTGAGGGTGAGTTGCACGTCTTCAAAAATGTAGCTGGTTAGATTAAAGCCACAAAGAAAACTCACAAATTGAGTTCAGCTCTTTCGAGGTTGTGAAAGCACACAGGTAGAACACAGACCCTATTAATACACCAAACAGCTGCCTGGCAGGGCAACATGTCCCAGCAGCGCAGGGTGGGCACTGTGCCCTACACGACACCTGTGTAGTCTCTTTAGTGCCCTTGAAAGTGGACATGGCTGAGAAGTTCACTACAGACCCCTCAACACACACACACACACGCACGCACTGCCAAACTGACCACAGAATAATAATAGTCCAATACCAGCAGAATATTAAGTCAGTTTGTTGACTGTATTTGTCACAATATTCACTGTACTTCTGATAGTCTGAAAGAGTCTGTATTTTAAACATATAAATCCAATGAATTGTACCATAGTACATTAACATGGTACTGAGTGATTGCCATATTCATATACCATGATATTTAAATGATCCTACCATGGTAAATGTCCAAAAAAAAACAAAAACAAAAAAAACATGGTAGTACAATGGTACATTTTTGTGGAAACTTCGACAAACGAAATAAATGCAGTATAAAAATAATTAAGAATGCGATCTTTCTCTATATTATATTAACAGCCTAACCTTCACCTTGCAATGCATCATAAGATCACCTTTACACTTTTAAATAATTTTAAAGTGATTACTACACTCATATCCTATGATATTTAAATGATCCAAAACAACAACAACAACACAGTAGTACAATGATAAGTTTTTGTGCAAACTTCAATCAAAGAAATAAGCATATTATATTAATAACCTCAATGTAAAAACACCGTTCTGTACTAATGACCAAATACATTCAACACGTTATTAAATTATTATGAGTTTTTTAAGCACTGACAAGCACGCTTCATAGCTGATTTCAAAGTTACTACGTTTATAAAACAACACCATGAAAGACTCAAATCACGAATCTAGAAAGAAAACGTTATAATGAAAGAGAAATAATAAGAGGAGTGAAGTTTCGTACCGTTCCGCTGTGTTTGGTCCTCCTGCGCGTCTGACGCTCCGCGGCGCGTCTCCACCCCTCACACACGCGTTTATAGCGCTACATTAACCACCTGTGCTGATTATACTGCATTTACTTAATTGTCAATATCAGGTGTTTCATTTATTACAGTTCAAGGAATTGTTTGAAACAGATTAAGGGAGTATTTAAGTGTCGTTGCAGTAGCGCGGGATGTTAGAGCAACAGCGCCACCTGCTGTCGACATGCGGCTATTGGTAGTGATGTTACACTCAAAATCAGTACTAATTCAAACTTAC